TCTTAAACAATTTGAACAGAGAGATGTCATTCGATTTGGTCAATTGTCTTTTGTGTTTTTCATTTTTTTATTTTAAATATAAAAAAAAGTTGTATGTTTGCACGTTGAGGTCAGTGTTTACAAGGAAGCGAGATGCCAGTATCACAACATTGTCATGCGGTGCGCATACGAGGTGACGCAGCAAGCCTTGAACTACGTCACTATGACTTTGTTACTTATAACATATACTTACAGAAGTCTTGCAAACTTAATTAACATACTAACAAGCTATAATTTACTTGTTGGCGACTGATATCGAAAACCTAATGCATGATTGATAAGAAATTAATTAAAAACGCACACAAAAAGCTGACTAAGGAACTTTGTACAGACAATGTAAATACTCGAAGCTACGGTTGCGTCGCGAGAATTTTGTTGCGTTACGTACACAGAAGATTGAATCGCCAATTCGGTCAGTACAGGCATAGCGATGTCAACTATCATACGTGTCAATTGTATACGTTTGCCCCGCCATCTTGAAAAATTGCAGCGACTTTACTCACGACGGACTTGAACAGATTGCGAAGTTGCTCTTTGGCGATGAGAGAAATGTCGACATCGCGAGCTCTGTATAAACCTTTATGGCATCGCATTGTGAAGTCTTAGCGACCAAAATCACCGTGTTACGTATATTTCAAATGCCTTGTGTACGAAGGATCTAAAACTACGAGGAGTTCGAATCGAACGACGCCCGACACTTAAAATTGATTAAAGCCATTGAGGCTACGGACGAACATAGTTAAATGTATATAGAAAGCATATAAATTCCAATACAGACAACGAAAAATATGTCACCCAATAGCTGCGCTATGAAATACGATCAATACGGGCATGTTAAAATTGTACATATGGCTCCTAAAGTTGACAATTTCCGTTTTGCTACCACACCTCTTCGCTTGTACAAACTTTAACAAATTATCCCAACCTTTCTAATAAACAATTGCTATTAAACAAGGATATAAATAACTTTATTCATTCTGGGCATTCCAAAGACTAATATCGATTGTTAATTAAAGGTCGACTCCCTTATAAAGCGGTAGACATGCCGTCCATCGTCAATAAGCTTGACATTTATCAGTTGTAAAAAATATAGTATTTTCCTAATAGAAATCGACAAAACACAATTTTGTTGCTTCACTAACTTCTTGAATAATCCCCAAAAAAGCAATTAAAGTTTTATGGCTTAACAAAACGCTAAAAAGAGACAATTTTAAGGTAAGCATCAAATACTGGGCGCGCCCAAATAAAGATATGAATAATATCAAATCAAAGAACTTATTGAGAGCCATTACATAATTATCATTCCTGTATATGACCATGGTTATGAGCCCTTGACACGCTATTTATTGGTTTTTATTCGAATGATATCAAATATGGCTTCCATTCATGCTCTACACTGTTAGCGAATGCTTCATAAATTAATTAGAACATGCATTTACAACAGAAATACTATAATACAAGTATTTCTATTGAAACCGTTATATTATATTAATGAGTGCTATTGCGTGTGTTACTTCAAGCATGCGGATATGTGCATATTATAGATTCCCAGTCTAAACCCCTTAACCATAGACCAAAAAAAAAATTACGCTAAAAAGTAAATTAAAAAATATTTCTGGAACAACACTTTCTCTTACATAACTATACAACACTAGCTGTCGTCTGCGACTTCGTATAAACGGGATTAAAAAAAGAATTTAAAAAGTAGCCTGTGTTTTTTAATATATAATAATATATTTATTCATAAAAAATTACACTTTCATTTAAACCAGGCTTTGTTCTACATTTGTGCCAAACTACATCAAGATCAACTCAGCCGTCCCTGAGATATCTTCAAACATACATCCATCCATCTAAACATTCACATTTGTATTAGTATTATAGGCTTTCAATCAAAACGAGGCATACGGGTTGCGATGAACGCTGATACTTTCCAATATGGAAACAACTGAACAGAGATATATTGTCATCTCTTTCACTCTATTAGAAAATAATGCGATGCAGATATATCTACTGTTAAATGTCCAGAAATTATATAGACTTGGTATTTCAGTAAGAAAATGTGACTAAACATTGTAATTATAGAACCTTAACCTATATTGACCAAAAAATATTAGTTACACGAAAAAATTAATGCGTTTTCATAAACACGAAATTATTATAGTAAATTTAAAAAGTAGCCAACAGTTTTATAGCCTTGACTTGCTTTTAGTCTGCCAAATTTGTTCAGTGTACATATACTAAACACAAATACTATGTGACTAGAGAACCAGTGCCACTCATCCTGATGAAGGGCCCCCGATGGGCTCGAAACTAGTCGGTGCCGCCACCGGACGTATATACGTGAGTGTTTAGCCGTGTTTATATATCAGTGACTAGAGAATTTCACATTTGCTATACATTTTAATCCAAGTTGAAAAATCAATCCTATTTCTTACTAATATTATAGACGCGAATGTTTAGATTGTTGGATGTTTGCTTAAAGGTATCTCCAGAACGGCTCTACAGATCTTGATGAAATGTGGCATAGAACATAGTCTGGAAGAACACATAGGATACTTAAGTTTTTTCTAATTGGACGTGGATGGAATTGCGGGCGACAGCTAGTATTTAATGTTAACAATTTCTAGTAAAGACATGTTAAAGAGTCTCAAAAACATAGAAGTAATATGCAACAGCTCAACTTGAAATGCCCATTTCTGGACAGAACGGAAGAAAAAATGGGATTTTCTTAATAACAATCGTTGGAAGGCATATAATTTCTCAGTACTTATAAGTATTTATAAACATATTGACAGTAATTCCTCATGTGGTCGTTAACATGACGCACATGAATGCTTCGCTTAAAAATGCGGCCTTTCCTCTTACCATCACGGAAGAGGTCGACTTTATAGTAAAAACGGGGTCAGGACTTTAATGCAAGGATTTTAGTTCAATTAAATACCCAGGGTTTGCTCTATATCATTACAAGGAAAGTGCCACCTGCGAGTTCACTTTCTTACGAAAAAAAAACCTAGTAACAGTGAATGTGTTAAATGAAGTTGCCAAATGTAAAATTTTGAAAGACCTTCAGTCTTATTCAACTGGGATGAGTTGCCATGGTAACAAAAGGATATGTTATAAATTTCCTATTGTGGTTTAAATTTGGGTTTTATACCACAACCAATATCCCTAACGTCTATTATACCATAAATACATTAAAAGCAATAGAGAAAATGGTAGTATAAATTACGTCGCGTGCTCAACTCTTACAAGTAAAAGCTATCGATTTACGCTTCGCCGCAACATTGACGGTGAAAACCTAAAAAGGTCGCGGCCGTGAACACAGCCTAGAATCAGTAGACAACAGAAAACATAGGAAAGTTATGTTACATAGTGCACACTGTACAGTCAGCTGCATAAATATGTAAACACAAAGTTTAAAAAACTTGTATATTGCAAAACAAATTTCTTTTCAAAAATATAGTATAAGCACATATTCTTCCATATTCTTCCAACTAAGCCAATGATAATATGTACTACAAATGTATAATTGAAACTGAAGTTTCTGAAGTTTTATAAATGTATACATATTTATGCAGCTGACTGTACTGTACATAGTGGATAACATGTACAAAATGTACACAGTGCACAAGAAGTCTTTAAATGTCTGTATTGGTCAAGTAAATTACAAGATCGCAACAAATTAAAAGAAACCCCTATATCACAGAGTACATATACCAAGCCTATGTATAGCAAACTGTCTGCATGCAGTACAAATTTAAATTCATACTTCATACTACCATAATTACTCCGTTCATGCAAAATTGAAAAAAAACTTAATTAGTAGCCTATGTGTCCAAACTGTTCTACATCTATGCTAAATTTATGCAAGATTCATGCAGCTGTTCTGGAGATACCTCCAAACAAACATCCATCCATCCAAACATTCATATTTATATTAGTAATAAGTAAGATATAATAAAGACATTCTATTTAAAAGAAAGATGCGTGAAGATATTTTCATAAGTGTAACAGACCAATTAATATGAATGCCTTCATGTCAATTGTCATGCAGCTCTCCAAACTTCTAGAATCAATTGAGAAGGCGCATTTCGTTAATGGCATGAATTAATTTTAATTGCCGCACATAACTTGTTCATTGATGTCCATTAAAGGCTAGGGGAGGATATAATAGATTTTGATAGGACAAATTGTTGAAACATTAAGAAATTGTATTCATTTGATGACATGTACAAGTGTTTTACACAGCATAAATATTTGTTTGTTGCATGCAACATCTATTTTCTTGGAATTCCTAAACAAAATACATACAACTTGAAAGATAATAGTGTGTTTACTAAAGCACAGCTAATTTTAACAATCAAAAAACTTAAATATACATACAAATATATAGAGATATGTAGAAAATAATTTTCTAATAAATTTAAAACTTTCACTTTTTATAACATTACTATGTTCACATAACAAGCAACAAAAGATGATATAGACAAACTCTTTTGTTCAGTTTAAGAAATTAAGCATAACAAAAGGATCTACATGTTAATATTAGTAAATGATTCCTGTTTAAACCAAAAATTATTAGTTGAAAAACTGTGTCCATTAGTGTATTTGTGTACAAAGATTTTTTTACATTCCACTATTACTATTGACTGGTTCTTTACAAATCACAATGGAGAAGAAACACGATAAACTGTTGCGATAATTGAATTTAATTATTATGGTGAATAATAGAACGATTTTAATTTGTGCGTAACTCATGTCAAGAGTGCGCAGTTTCCGTCATCAGCATAAATCTCATAGAATTTTATAGGCCAAATGTAGGTAAATTAGAAAATAGCCTACGGTATATTAGACTACGATAGCAAACAATAAAAACATGGCGAATAGCTCATAATATGACTCTCGCGTTATAATTAATAGCGCGGAACAATAAAAAGTAATGATTCTTTTATACTTACATATTCTGCAAAGGATATCAGAAACAGGTAACTCAAGGCTTGAAGCAATCTCCGTGAATATCTTGGATGAACGCCTGCCATTGCGGAGTACTAAATTTCACTGTTTATATGCAACTAACGTATTTCGTCATATCATAATTACACTATAAACAAATTATAATGGAGGCGACACTAATTTCCGAAAAAACTTAAAACACACCCTTTTCCCGTCACGCCTAATAATCGAATGATCAAATCATAGAGTATTATGGATAAAGAATAGGGGTAAACATAGACAACTTCGTACAAAGAGTATATTGATGTAAAATTATAACTGTTATAGGTATAAAATTCCGTGACTGTGGTTTTATTATTTTTATGTTATAATAAACAAAAGAATGCTTCAATAAGTTATTGTCCTACAAAAAACATAAGACTAAAGTAGGCAGTTCACTGAAGTTATTCGTATTTTATTTTTTTAGATAATGCGATGTGTCCCTGCTGTCTAGCAGTATAATTCTTATACTCTTAGGCGATGTGTTTTGCAAATTACGCTTGCTTGTCAGACTAATATCTATAGAGAAAATAATCGTTTTTAATTAATTTTGAGATTATTTGGTAATGCAGAAAATGTTAGGATATATTTAAAAAGCGCATTGACAAAATCGGCAAAATCATATATGTTACAACCTCCTTAATGTAATGGAACGAAGGGAAAGACGGAGATGTGTATACGTTTCGGCTAGTCAAAAGAAAAAACTCATTGAATTGATCACAAAACACCCTGAGTTGATATCGTGCAAAGTAAACCAAAATTTTAATTATAAAGACTCACAAAATATATGGCGTAGCATAGCTAATGAGTGTAATGCTATACCGGGAGCAAAGAAAACTTGGATGCAGTGGAGGAAAGTACGTAAAACTTTTTTCTAAAAGTCCCCACCAGTAACATGAAATATATATTATTTATCTTTTCTATTTTAGACATGGTATGATCTCCGTTGTAATACTAAAAGGAGGCAAGCAGAATCCAATGGAGAAGTAACCACATCTAATAATTTTCTAACCCAGGCTGAACAAGAAGCATTAGGTATTAAAAATATCAATGAGGAGACTCAACTAGAAGATATGCATGAAGAAAATTTAAGTGATATATCAGCTGCATCATTAAGTGAACCTGAATCATTACCAGAACAAAAAGTTAATATAACCACAGTGGATGTAAACTTTCCCAAAAAATTAAAACATTCCTCAAAAAGTTCAGGCAGTTGTAACTTAAGTTGTGATATAATAGCTGCACAGGAACAGAGAAAACTAGAGATAAAAGAAGATTATTTGAGTTTTAAAAAGGAGTATTTAAAACAGAAGTTAACATTGATGAAAGAACAAAATGAAGCTCTTAAAAGTATAGCAAAAGAACTCACAAATATGAAATGATTTTTTATAAATGCAACAAACATTTTTAGTGCGATAATGGCTATTGTATTTTATAAAAGATAAATAGACTACAGGGATACAGTTGAAAGTGGATAAGTGAGAAACCTCTATAAGCGAAAGTAATTGCTTGCTCCTGATGTTTTTAGTCCCTAGAACCTATTTATTCACATGTACAGTTGCAATTTTTATGTTTATGATGCATTATTTTAATATTCTAAAATAAGCAATTTTGCATAGCAGATGTACTTTTAATGTTTTTAAATATTTCCAAGATTTTTTTATTACAATGTTTGCGAGCGCACATAAGGCATTTATTTTTATTTTCAGTCGAGTTCATTTTATTATTATTGATAATTGCAAATGTTTGACACTTCAAAAAGATATATATATTTTTTTAATTCAAAGAATAGTGGCCGTATTGTAATATAGGTCTTATGACAGTGGAAACTCCTCATTATTTGCTGTATGGTTTATTAAAACTTTATAAGTAATAATGACTATTTATGTACTTCTGTAAACTAGAAACTCAAGGTTGCGCGAAACATCTATAATCAAGAAAAATATAGTATTCCCTTGGACTTGAGCTTATCTAGATTCAACTGTATATCTTATGTGTATATAAAAAATAAGTGACAATTTGCTTTGTATGTTATCTCTGTTTAAAACTTATCTTGTACTCAGTTCTATCTCACGGTATGTATATATCTTCTATATATAAGATTACAAGAACCTCAATGTTAGATAACATACTTATCCTTTATAAAACAGCAAATATAATTTGATGTATAGGCTACTTATTAAGGTTTTTTTTTTTAATTTGATGTGTACAGATGGAGTCAATGATGACAGCTATTAATTAAAAAAATGTACATAATTTTTTTGTAAAGAAAACAAATAAGTATAAAATAATTGTTTATTCAAGGCACTGAACAAAATAGTCTACAAGTCTATAGTTTCCTGTTGTGTGCAAAATACAAACAGTGGCAATATTTGATTAAAAACATGTTGCATAACAAATATCAAAAATAAACAATTTAACAAATGATTTAGTTATCCTTTATTTACAGTAAATATAACAAACACTGTTAAAGCTTACAGTGAAATTGAATTTACTACTTACTTAATATACTTAATATATTTTTGATATTTATTTACATGCTGTATTTATATCTAAACATTGTCATGTTCTGAATTATGATGTGAACAATCATAATTAAAAATTATCTGTGCTCAATATAATTGTAAAAACAATTATATAACAGATAAACATATTTTAACTTACAGAAAGTTAACTAAATACTTTAAAAATCTTATAGGTCATTATTAATACAGTATCAAAGGTTAGGTGCAACCCAGTCCAAGAATTTAACAGCAAATTCAAACCCAACAAAGCATGCAGCATTTGCTGGGAATGCTCTAATCATGACTGGTGTTACACCCTTGTACAGAGCCATTGGACCCTCTCTCTCCATCAACTGTTTGAAAACATCCCTCATACCATTTGGATATGTACCCTCTGGGGCTGTTTGAAGTCTACTCTTGAGTACATCGGCCGGCATGCCCACCAGCCAGTTAGCTATCCCCGCACAACCACCAGCTACTATGGTTGCCACCATCTTCAGTTTATTACTTGCATCCTCTGGTACAAGGACCTCTTTTATCCACTCATATGTCATGAAGTACATACCACTAGCTGGCACATCTCTCAAAATTGTAGCAACACTACCTTTGTAGATGCTTCTGATACCACCCTCAGCGTATAACTGCCTGGCACAGTCGACCATGCCTTTGTACTTCTGTGGCGCGTTCGCACCTTGTTGAATTTGGAGTAGACACTTTATCCTTTCGCCCGGAGCCATAATCGAAGTTGTGAACACACCAGAAAAAGCACCCGCAGCAAATAATTCTGATTTTGTAAGTACTTGATCTTCTTCCGACTTTATTAACTTTTTACCTAAACCAAAACCGAAAAAACTGATAGCAAAAATTGGCGCTACTCCTGTTAAAGGCGCTGACATTCCCTTGTAGAGCCCACGGAATCCTTCAAGCTGCACCGTCTTTTTGAAACAATCCCAAGTGCCCTTGTACAAGACGGTTTCTCCTGGTTTTGGAAGAGGCATTGTTTGTAATCTTACTTTTATCGTGTCCATGGGATGTCCCGATAAAACAGTACAAACACCACCAAAACCACCGCTCAAAAAATATTTTACGGGGCTACTCTTCTCCGACATTTTCGCTAATTTAACTTTACTAGAAGAGAAAGGAAGGTCAATCACTCGCACAGTTAAAATAATTTAAAATTAAAATGTCAAAGTCCAGTCCACGAGAGCTGTTTACCAAAGTTGACCAAAGTTTAGTTTCTCTTCACATTTATACACACACATCAAGAATCAAGATAGATAACAAACGTCACCGATGAAAAATGTTTTATTGTTGCCATATTATGACAGACTTTGGACTTTGTCATTCATATACTCTTTGTTTCACATGTTGACATATTTGAATTTGACATGACATCTGTTTTTGACATCTTCTATCACTCAAATAACAAGGTGAACTGGTGTTTTCTTTTATTTGCCAAAATTTTTATATCCTTGTTTTACATTTAGATCTTATGTACGCTCAGTTATAATGTGTAGTAAGAAATAATGAACAGAAAATTGTACACACATTTTGTGAGACCAAATTCACCAACGCAAAGAGCACCAGCATTACAACAATCTATATTGAGTGGAACAGAAGCTAAGAAATTATATTTAGAAGAAGTAAAAGAAGTTAAGTATCCTGTTCCAGCTAAAGAAACATACAGGTCAGATAAAAAAAGAGGCACGAAACGCAAAGCTTGTACAAATGAAATACAATATTGTGAAAAAGAATTATTTCTTTCCGTACAAAATAATGACATAGATAAGCTTGTACAAATTTTAGATGCATTTCCCGATAAAATAAATGTATGTGATAGATTTGGATGGAGTTTGATCATGATAGCTTGTCAAGCAAATGCTGTAGAAATTGTCAAAGAGCTACTTAAACGAGGTATTGATCTATCTGTTAGAGACACGGCAGGCAATTCTGCACGTAGTTTAGTTATCAAGAATAGAAATTTCACTTTGGCTGATATACTTCTCAGTCACAAATCTGATGAGGAGACAAAAGAACCAAGGAAAATGTCTAATATCAACTCCATGGATGAATATATTTGTGATATTTGTAACAATAAGAAGTTTTTAAATAAACAAAAGCATTTATCATCCACTTTGCACAATATTAATGCTAGTAAAGGAAGAAAAATACCCACAAATTTTGTTATACCTGAATCAAATAAAGGTTATCAGATAATGTTGAGAGGAGGCTGGGATAAAGAGGCAGGCTTAGGTCCTGATGGTTCAGGAAAGGTATACCCTGTCAAAGCCACAAAGAAATTAGATAAGACTGGTTTAGGGCATAAGAAAAAAACAATAGAAACAATTTTAAATGAAGAACATGAAAAGGCAAAATCAAAAAATTTAAATGCAAGGAATGACCACAAAGACAGGCTAATGGAAATAAACTTTAGAAGACAATTTTATTAATTGCTCTTACAAAATCAGTTCTGTTATATAAAACTATAGCATACAAGCCAATTCTATCCAATTATTTTTACTAAGTTATAATAAATACTTCTAATATAAAACTGGTTTTTATTTACACCCTTCATTAAAAACATAGTCTGTGAATTTAATTATTCGTGATCATCCCTAAGTTGTATTGTCAATTAGGTTTACTGTTACTTAATTGACTCTTGCTTATTGCCGCCAACACTTCCGAAGCTTTATTATGTAATTTTAATACATAAGAAAGACTTGTTGTTTTTAATAAAGAAAATAAAATATGAAACGTAGGTATGTTATTTCCAAACGATTTCAATATTTTGATTGTCAACGTCAACTCGACTTTTATCAGTTGTATTCTCCGGAAATTGTCATTGTCAGTTACTGTCATTAAAGTTTGAAAATAAAATGGTTTTCGTATATTTGTTTGTTTGCAACTTGTTGATATGAGATTTGCATGTTATTTATAATTAATGAAGATTTAAACTATTTAATTAAAGTAGAGACTAAACAATGTCTTGTAGTAAAGAAGAAATTGAGAGAAAACGTTTAGCAGCAATACAGAAGAGACAAACGAAATTATCGTCACCTAACAGCCCTCTGAGAAATCTTTCCATATCGAATACAACACAGGGTAGTCCTTCTTTTACTGCTCAAAATATTAACGGTCGTAAACTTTACCATCCATACAAAAAACCAGAAATAAATGATTCAGAAAATATTCCTGTGACTAAGGTTGTTAGTGGAACAATATACTTGATATCGGAGAGTAGATTCGAAGTAAATCTATCAGAATTCTGTGTTCCACTTATTAATATTTTCAAATCTTTACCATCTAAATGCTATGGTAAGTAAACAAATTGAATTTAAAGCATAGAATGGTAGAAAGCATTTACCTTTGGTTCCAAGACCAAAATCTCAGTTTAAAACATATCGTTATCTCTGTTTTGTCAAAGATAATGACTTTGGTTTCAGAAACCCATTCTTATTACTTCAGTTAAAACAATTTATTGTTGATTAGCTGTCGCCTGCAACTCTGTCAGCCCAGAATAAAAAAGAAACCTAATGAGTCGCCTATGTGTTTTTTCAGACTATGTTTTACATCTGTACCAAATTTCATCAACATCCATTCATTCTGGAGATACCTCCTAACAAACATCCATCCATTTGTATTGATAATATTAGTAAAATTAAAAAGACTATCAGGTATTACAACTAAATATTGCTATTCTATTTATTATCTTATTCTATTTATTCCATAATGATTTATGATAATTTTTATTACAGATGCCAACACAAAATTGTGGAATTTCTCAATAGACGATTATGAGCAGCTGATATCCAAAGTAGCTCCATTGGCTCCGCATGTTGTACTTGGTCCATTACCTGCTTATGTTCTAAAGGTATCAAACAAAATTCCATAACATTAATTAACACATAATAAAACCAAATATAGTTTAAGTTAGAATATTCTAATTCTTTACTTTCAATTTCCAATGTTGATTCGGAATATGTTTTTCAGGTTATAAGAGAGAATGCAACAGATCCAAATACTATAGATCTGTCACCAGTGGAAGCAACATTAAGAAACAAACTAATGCCATTTCAAGAAGATGGTGTCAGGTTAGATATCTTTGTTTTATAGAATTATATACATTTTTACATAAACTTGAATTGTATCTTTAAATTCATACATACAAATAACCATACAATATATTGAGGGCTCCTACGTAAAGTGTCGTGTTGGCAAAATGCAACTTTAGCATAAAAAAAACTTTAAACATATCAATATTAGGAGGCAACAAGCATTTGTGTGCAAAGAGTATTTACATGTCCCCCACATCCCGGTAAACAGTGAATCGAGGGAACCAGAGGGGTTTTAGTGGGTAGGCTCCATGCCCCTTTAGGGATTGTCTTTCCCCAAGGCACCTGGTATGTGTAACGCATTCCCCCTCTTGAATAAAAAAAGGAGGCAACAAACATGAAGATAGACAAAGAAAATCTACTAATATTGTTCATTTGTTTTATAGTAGAAATCCATAATTTGTTTTAAAGTATAACTGTGGGTTTCTGATCTCTGTTTACGATATGATGATAACATTGTTTTATAAAGTCATTTTGATCTCAGAAACCAATGCTAAGTTTTTTTAATAGGTTTGGTATAGCACACCGTGGTAGATGCATGATAGCGGATGACATGGGCCTCGGCAAAACATTCCAAGCTTTGGCCATAGCGAGCTACTATAGACATAACTGGCCGTTGCTTATTGTAACTACTTCATCTATGAGGTAAATTTTTGATTTATTGCTTTTTTTAAGTTTTCTTTTTTTCTATTCTTGTTTATTTTTTTCTTTGTTTTACTAATAGAAACATTTGATATTACTATGTTATTTTATTATAATGATGTACATTTTTCATTAGAAACTATAAATGTGTAAGATTTTAAGATTTTTTATGCTAATATTTATAAAAATCTTCCGGTTTATCTAGCTGAAATTTGACATAGATGTAGAACAGTCTGGAAGAATATAGAGGCTACTTATTAATATTTTCTTTAATTCCGTGCAGACGGAGTCGCGGGAGACAGCTAGTGCATTGTTAAATTAATGATATTATGTTTAGGGATACATGGCAAAACAAAGTGTACGAACTCCTTCCATCGGTACCTCTCATGAACATTGCAACACTTAGCAGTGGTAAGGATACACAGCTGGTTGCAGACAAACAGGTAAATATAGTTAAAAATATCTAGTTTTATTATTAATATTACCTAGGAATTTTGTTAGGAGACACATTCCAAAAAAAAATATTTTACAAAATCTCGTATTTTTTTTATATTTGACATAAGAGATTGTCAAGATTGTTTTTTTTATTTATTTTTAAATAACTATATGGCATTCTTACAGAATAGGTCCAATTTGAAATTATACGTATTTTACATAATAGTTAATTGAGAAAGTGATGTAGTGTTTATTTTTTTTATTTACTTATTGTTTTAAATTGGAATTTATATTTTTCAGACAGAAGTTGTAATTGTGAGTTATAAGATAACAACAATGCACACAGATTTGCTCAAGAGTAAACATTTTGGAGTTATTATTCTTGTAAGTTTATTTTTTTTTATATTCATAGACTACAATGAAATTTAACTGTGAAATAATAATAAAAGGTCATATCAGTGAAATCAGCGGGTTGAAAATGTTTGACAGTGGAAACCTACAACAAAACTTGTTGCGCAATCCAATTTTGGTGTAACAATAATTTGTATATAATCATAGTGTCAACTCAGCGGTTAAGCAATTGACTTGTAATCAGCATGTCCTGAGTTCGAATACTGGCATACACCAATGTGCTATACATATTATCATTCATGCGACGTATTTATGGTGAAGGAAATTAGTGATGCAATCTGCATATTTGTGAAGAAATTTTAAAATGTATATGTGAAGTCAAAAAACACAGGGGTAGTATTGACTATGGCCTAGTCAATCATCATCAGCTCACTATACATCCCCATTGAGGGGCTGCCTACCCTAAGTTAGGGATGACTAGCCTAGTCAATAACTAAGGTAAACTCCTAGCTCCGGTGGGGATGTATAGTGAGTTGGTGATCTTTGGTATAGGACGAGTCTCATCATTTGAAGTCAAACAAATCTCAGTGTACAACCGCATTAGTCCGCGTGTGCCGCGGTGCTGCTCGAGTACTGCTGTTAAGTGGTACTCCCGCACTCAGCCGCCCTGCTGAATTGTACACACAATTGTTGCTTATTGACAATAAGTTCTTCGGCTCATATACTGAATATGGTGAGTAATACATAAGTGACACATACATTTACACACACACACATATGTACACACACGCACACACATGTATACACACGCACACACATGTATACACACGCATACACATGTATACACATGTATACACAGGCACACATAAATGTGCACACACGCAAATATATATTTTCTTGTATTTCATAATCATCACCAATTTAAAGAACTGTGGAGCGAATTTCTTATCATTATAATATTGTAGGTAAGAGATATTGTGCGGGCAGACAGACTAACTTCGGCTGGGACATGTCCGGTCAATCCAACCTTGCAGAGCTACAGATTCTGCTGCAGAAGAAGTTCCTCATCAGAAGAACTAAGGAGCAAGTTCTCACCACCCTCGAAAGTAAGACCAGGTCAGTGACACATTCATTCAGTATTTTGACCGGCTACCCTAAAAGTACGGCTCAATATGGAAAGTTTCATGTGTGGTAGCAAATAGAGTCAAGGTTTCTCCTTCCTTATGTTTAATTGCCACCATCGAGTAAATCCAAAAATCCCCGCTTTGATTCCATCATCATCAGCTCACTACACATACCCACCAAGGGGCTCGGAGCCTACCCAAATCGCGGGTGACTATGCCATAATCAACCACGCTGGCCAAGTGCAGTGACTTCACACATATCTTTGAATTTATTCTCTTATATGTGCAGCATCACGATGTTTTCCTTCATCGTAAGAACGTTTTATAAATGTACATATGTATATCGGAAATCCAAAAACGCATCGGTATATAGCGGGATTCGAACCCATCACCTGCAGATTGCAAGTCAAGTTCTTGACTCCTGAGCCACCGAAGCTCCTATACCTATCCGCTTTGATTCTCCTATAAATACTCTGATAACTGTAGAATTTATAATATAGTTTGGAAGTTCGTTATTTGGAAATGATAGTTTCCCTTCATTCCGATTTAACGTGTCTGTTGATTAATGTCGTAAATGAAACAAGCATAGCCACAGGTCATAGCCTGTATACATCAGTGTTTGTTTTCAGAGAGACAGTGTTACTGGATGACTCATTGCTGCAGTTCAGCAAAGAGGATCAGCAGGAGTTGTCGCAGATGGCGGACACGTGGCGCACCAGCCGTCCCGCGGACAAACAGTCTGCTCTCATCACCTACTTCAACGAGTCCGCCAGGGTCAAGACTCCAGCTATATGGTCAGTATACAGCAATTACGTTTTGGCACGCTCTTGACACACCTCTATTGACTCTTCCACATTAATCTATAGTTGTCTACTTACTATTCCTTTTATTCTGCTATTATAATTTTATGAATTACTTTGTAAATACTAGCCTTAGTCCGCGATTACGTCCTGGACGAATTCTTAAAAAAAAGGAAATTAAATAAAAAGTATATTATGTCTCCTGGTTCAAAGTGAAAACATTAATTTTCAGCCAAATCAATTAAGATGTTTTTGAATTATAAATAGTGAAACTAACAAGACCTTTTTATCTATAATTAAAAAAAAACTTAATAAGTAGTAGTAATAGGTAGGTCTGTCCTTTCCGACTATGTTCTAAATAGTGTTAGGAAAATCCGACACTGTGCCGGTGTATTGGCACAACACTTGCCTTACTAAAATGTCGACGTTTATGTTCCCTCACTAATCATTCTGACACTTCACTTTGTAATGAAAGCGCGTCATTCGCGCCAAAGGAACCTAACTAATACTGTTTAAAAATATATGCCAAATTTCATCAAGATCCATACAGCCATTCCGGAGATACCTTCTAACAAACATCCATCCATCTATACATAGTTTTAGACATTATTAATTAGAATTCTTTGGTGCGAATAACGTGTTTTCGTTACAAAGTGAAGTGTCAGAATGATTAGTGTGGGGACATAAACGTCGACATTTTAATAAAGCTAGTGTTGTGCCAGTACACCGGCACAATGTCGGATTTTCTTCTTAACAATAGTAATTTAATTTGTAAGATACAAATTGAGAAAAATGCCTTTTATTTTGTTATTATTGTTTCAGTAAATATATAAAGCAGGTGATAAAAGAGGAGGGTGTGGGTAAGTTCCTGGTGTTTGCGCATCACCGCAGTGTGGTGCGCGCTGTCTGCGCCGTGCTGGATGACCTCAGCACCAGGTACATCTGCATCGACGGGCACACGCCTGCCACCACTAGAGCGGTCAGTCACAAACATTACTATTTGTCTAACTGTCACTTTCTGACATCATAATCTATGTTACAAGAATTTTGATCTCAGAAACCCACGGTAAGCGAGAGAGAATACACTTTCAATCTTAAATTTTACATCGACCAAGTGCTGCCACCTAGTTACTAACATGAAAACTTCTTATGAAATTTAGGGAACAGAATCTAGTGGGTTTTTTACTATTGAGATGTTTTATTTCATAATTATGATATAAATTTACGTGCATCAGAAAGTTGGTATTATTTCTGAAGTTTGTAAGTTAGCCGAACTAGTCGTCGCCCGCGACTACGTTCGCTCGGATAGAAAAATCTTAATAAGTAGCCTGTGCTACCAAATTTCATAAAGATCCGTCAAGTTCCGGAGATACCATCAAACAAACATCCATTCAAACATTGGCATTTATAATATTAGTAAGATTTTATTACATGATAGTATATTTGTGGTGGTGATGGTGCAGGATCTGGTGGAGAGGTTCCAGCACGTGAGCGCGTGTCGCTGCGCCGTGCTGTCCCTGACCGCGGCGGGCGCCGGCCTTACGCTCACTGCAGCCAACCTCGTGCTCTTTGCTGAACTGCACTGGAATCCTGGAGTGAGCACTGGAACATCATACCACCTCGTGATCACTGTGAAGAAAACGCGCATCTCAATTCGCTGAAACGGCGAAACAACCGCTCCTCTAAGACTGCAATTGCAGGGAACCTACCTTTAGTAAACGAAGAAGGAAAACCACAAATTAAAGATATTTCCTTTTCCTAAGCGTCCTATTCCCTATCGAATCAACTTTTTTCTTATCCCTTCTTTGTTTTAGACATGATTAGTTAGAATCCTTTGGCACAAATAACGCGTTTTCGTTATCAAATCAAGTGTCAGAATGAATAGTGAGGGGACATAAACGTCGACATTTTAGTAAGACTAGTTTTGCGCCAGTACACCGGCACAGTGTCGGATATTCTTCCTAACACTAAACTAGCTAGATTAGAAAAAACTATTATTAGTATAAAGGCATATTTAATTATTGATAATATATAATATATGAACGTGTGTCAGATGCTGACGCAGGCGGAGTCCCGCGCGCACCGCATCGGGTCTAGCGGCGGCGTGCGCGTGCGCTACCTGCTCGCGCGCAACACTGCTGACGACTTCATCTGGCCGATGTTGCAGAACAAACTTGATGTACGCACTATTACACACTGGATCTCCTACACCAGGGACCAGGGATGGCGAACATTTATCAATATGCCATTCTTGTAAATAAAACGTCTGACGTCATAAACGTGTGACGTCATAAATGTAACATTAATCGATTTTGATTTTGTGATTTCTTGAAAAAATTCTTAACATAAACATTACTAGCGTTTGCTTCTTTAATAATACTTCGCATTTTTTTACGCAGTGCAGAAGAATTTTGTTATAATTAAAATATTATGGCACGTCCTAATTGTTATCCAGACTTAAACTTACTAGAATGTTTGTCGTTTCTTAGGTACTGAATAACGTTGGACTGAGCGGTGATACATTTAAAGACACCGCCATGACGCACCAGGTATGTTGTCTTCTATGTTAAATTCTTTTTCTTTCTTTTCTCTCTTGTATTTTGCATTAATTGTATTTAGTAACTGACAAGCAAATGTTTTATTTCGTGTCAATTTCACGCAATAAAATAAATTAAATGACATTTATAACTCCTGTGAAAAAGTAATAGCAATTATTTAATTGTGACATTTTGCATGATCGAATTATGTTTAGTTTTATTTATAAATTATAATTTTATAGGGAAATAATAATATAACACAATATTTAACATCAAATCACATAAAGAATAAGAACGATTACATCCCGGGCACAAATATAAGGAAGAATTCATTACAATGTGATATACCACGGAATAATATCACTGAAACAGAATGTCCTAAAAATGAAGATTCTTTCTTAGAACACGATCAAGATGACGATTTATTGGCAAATATGGAATTATGACCAATTATAAATTAATTAAGACTATATATGTTGTGGTTAAGTTATATACTACCCGCATACAATAACAAAAGAGTTTGTTAGTTTCACATCGTAACTATGCTATAACTCAGGTACTGAATGACGTCATTAATCTCAAGTGACATGTTGTATGTGTGTAGTATTTATGTAAATATATTTCTTAATTTATTTCCAATATCAACTTTCTCTTGTTAAAATGTTCAAATTTGATATTATTTTTGTATAAATATTAAATTAAAATAGAACTGAAAGAAAGAATTTGTTGTAATTTTGAATGAAAACAATAAATTATTCTATTACACAGTCTTTTATTATATTAAAAAAGTCGACATTGATAAACCACAATAGTAATAGTAATAGCGATTTGGGGTCGATTTCTTATATTATTTAGTTTGGTTTAGTTTTTTTTATATCATAAGATGGCAAACGAGCGAGCGGCCACCTGAAATCGCTGAAATAGCGAAGTGACCGTTGCCCATAGACATACGCAATTGCATATGCGTTGCCTAACTTTAATCCACGGAGGAGAGGATGCACAGAAAGAAAATATTTTCCCTTTCCATGCATCGTCTCATCCGGAAAGTTCACTTCCACTTCCTATCCTTTCCTTATAAGAAAAAGGATGGGAAGGGAAAGAGGACTATATTAGGCCTCCAGGACGCACACTCATCAGACGAAACGCGGAATTGCTTCCACATCACGCCTGTCTTCTGTGTGGTCGTGGTATTACACCGGGCGAGCCGGGACAATTCGTGCGAACATGTTTAAACGGGCTCTATATTTAATATAGTATTAATTCATTCATTTATTTTGTATTGTTTAGATATTTGGTAAGATTATATTTTCATTATTAAATGTCTTTTTCCTATAGTAATTTGAAATTCATATTACTTAATATTCAGATTTTGAAGAATCTTTAAAAAAAATAAAAAAATAATTTCATAACATCATAACAATTTATTATAAAGACAAATTTGTAAATTATATAATAACTTAACAATAAAAAAATCACACAATTTTTGTAACCAAAGAAAACAAACAAAAAACTTTTTATCTACATTACTAAAGTTTCCAATGACAATGTAAAATTGGATACTTTTACCATAAACCATTCGTTCGTACGATTTGCAAACAATCTTGGTTTCAATTTAATCTTTATTTACAAAACAATCACAATGTTTCACACGGCACGATGTTACAATAGCAACATTATTTTATAATCTGTGCACTTAATTTAGAAATAGATTAAATAATAAAAAAAAATTAAAGCTTCATTTGATTCCATTAAAATATAACCTAATTCGTATCACATTTGCAATATTTTATTGCGTAAAATATAAAAAATAACTCACACCCACAATAATTTGGCAAGCTTTATAAATTCCTTTAGCGATGTAACTGCTTTGTTCGAAATGACGCATCTTAAATTAATGACAACATTAAAATTCATCGCAAGATCCAAGTCCTTTTACAGTGAGGTGATTTCCCGCGCATTTCATAAGACATTTGTTGCCGTAAGTAACTCCGTTAGACGCGCACACGGGCTGTAGATTCCTCGTACACGCACAACGGTTGTTTTTAGGAAAATCATCTTTACTTTCATCACAAGAATCAACATGGAGTACGTGTAAATCAGGATTTGTTTCGCGAGCACAGTTTAATAGACAAGGATTGTTGTACGTGATACCATCTGTGCCACAGACTAATTTTGTTTCTCTATTCTTGCAACCGCAAGACTCATCGACATCTCGAATGTTCCTACATGCTCCTTTATGGCTGATGTCTAGTCTGTGTAATTGTCTCTGGCGGCATTTGAGAGTGCATGGATTTGGATAAGTTTCACCATCTGTGCCGCATACAGGATTGAATTCGAACGTGCATATGCAATTGTCTGATGTAACTGGGGGAGCTTCGCATCCGCCGTAACTTTGTAGGGAGAGGTTAGGTTCAGATGCGCGCGCGCAGTTTAGCATGCAGAAGTTACTATAGGTTTTTCCGTTGGAACCGCATACGGGACTCTTTTCTCGCGTGCAAACGCATGGTGGTAATGCGTTTGTCACTGATATAAATATGACGAACATGGATATTGTACCTGTAAAAATTATAAAAAAAATTAACTAATTATGACGAAAAAGTATCCAAACTAACTTTAGTTAATGATTCTATAAGATTTCACGATTGATATCTTAAAATTCCATACTCCTCCGAAACGGTTTGACCGATTTTTATAAGATTTTATATGCATATTCAGTAGGTCTCGGCTACTTATTTATTATTACCGTTCTGACGGAGTCGCGGGCGACAGCTAGTGTTCTGCTAATATTTTCGAGACTAACAAGAATATTTAAATTCTATTTATAATATATCTAATTAATAATATTACATAAAGTAGTACTAGATAAAGCTGTCCATATGTGCTTGACCTACACATGTAAGGCATGAAGGTTAACTTACATATTAATACCGTATTTAATCTGTTTGTTTTCTCTGCAATGCATTAATTATCTTTATATCATGCAAACGGAGAAATAGCCGTGATAACTAATTACTTTGTTCTTTTATATCGATTGTAAAATTACATCCTGGAAGTAACTTTCTTGTACTAGTAATATTTTACATCAATTAATTGTCACTCGTCTATCTTAATATTAGTCTTTCAACTAAATAATAGATTTGTCTGCTCTACTTCGAAAAGGGTTAACAAGAATTAGATTTAAAAAATCTAATCGTGCGTTTCGGAGACAAAAAATCTTCGTTTAAATCATATTATATATGTTTCGGTATAGATAATGAAATGACGATTTGTTTTAAACAGAGTTTGTGTTCACACCAACGATAAATGTCTAGGTTCTATTTCCGAAATACTAAAATAAAAAAATCTTATCATCCTTCTTTCTAACTTTAAGAAAATAGAACAAATTATGTTATCTTTATATAAAAGAAAGTTGTATTAGTTACACTATTTATAACTCAAGAACGGCTTTACCGATATGGCTGAGAATAGGTGAGGAGGTAGCTTAGAGCCAGGAGACGGACATAGGATACTATTTGTTTCTTTTTTTCGAATTTATGCCTTGAAGAGCTGCTTTTTATTTAACTTATCTATATATTAAGTTTTATTATATATCCACGCGGTCAGAGTCGCGGGCGACAGCTAGTATTTGATATATCAGCACTATAAACCACGGTTCATAAAATAATTAAGTAACACTTACCGGTTAAATACATAGTGAAAAAACTTCCTTGTTAACAAAGAATCAGAAAATTAAGTAGTTATTTGAAGCAAAAACTAGGATTATCAACAAAGTGTATGCGCTTGTCGCGTTTGTTGCAATGCGATCGTACGCGGCTTGCGTTCGTTTATATTACGCCTGACATTTCAAACAAGGCCTCGTAAAACCCGACCGATGACGTAGCAACTCGCAATACGTTTTTCCCGACCCTCTGTAAGGGCAATTGTGTTGAGATGAGCCAATACACACTATATTTGTAAATATTGATTTCTTTTTAATATTCATTCATGTTTTATTGATAAACTAGCTGCCCGTATCTGGACGCGCGGATTAAAAAAACTTAATCAGTAGCTTATGTGTTCTTCCAGATTATGTTCTACATCTGTGTCAAATTTCAGCGAGATCCATATAGCAGTTCTGGAGATACCGCCTAACAAACATCCATCCAACTAAACATTCGCATTTATAATATTAGTAAGATTATATGGTACGGCAACAATAACACGTTTTTTTTAAATACAGCTGTCAGGTCTCTTGTTGTTAATTTAGAATCTGCCTAGAAGTCAATTTCATAAACTTTAGAGAGCGTATATACATGCCGGTATGTATTAAGACGTCCAATATTGCTTATATTATGGTCGTTACATGGATAGGAACTCGAAAATTACGTGTAAGAAGTACTAAAGGCAACGTAAGGGCCATCAAAACGTTAAATACACATTCAAAAAGGTGTTGACAATTTGTACGGAAGTTTTTTAAGTGAAAATTCTAAATTAAAATTTATATAGTAAAAAAAAACTATACAGGTAAAATATTTAACAGATAATAAATTACGTATACTGTGCATATTCTATGATACATCAATATTAAAATTTGGCTGTATACGGGCACTGGGGGAATAACTTCTGTAAATTCTCATCTTCAATATTAGAGAATTACTAGTAAAGCTAAAAATGTTTACGACATGGTTAAACATAGCTGTGTAATTTAAAAATCAAGTGTTCCATTTGACGTTATCGTGAGTCGATGTTCGAAATGTCATTTCGTGAGTATTCCTAAGTTCGTTTGCCCCCTTCCGTTAAAAAAAAATCGCCATTGAGACGATAGGTTTTTTATCCGTCGTCCACAGAACTTTTGGCCACACTTATATCCTTCAGATTATTTATATGTAAGTTAACTATGCTTAATATTATATAATATTAATAACTGCTTTTGGCTATTTTAATATTTCCTCGGTATAAAAATGCCTTGACTCACTTAAATCAATATTTACAACCTCCAGCCAGTTTGATAATTATTGTAATTTATTCTCGTGCATTGTTTTCTGTTTTAAGGTCTAGTTTAAGGAAAATAATAAAAAAATAGGATATTGAACGGGATGAGTTATCGCAAATTAGTAATTATGCTAATAAAGATTCGCACCAATTACGTCGACGCCATGTTTCCTGATGCATAAATAAAAATGGCGGCGTTCATTGAAATAATATTAATCTTATTATTACCGATATTTTTATGACAACATAATATGGTGGATTTCATTTTAATAATGCAATTTTCAGTTCGCATATAAATTACAAATTACTAAAGGAATACTGTAATACAAATTATTGCAGTTAAATCGTTTCTAAAATAATTGTTTTTTTTTTAAATTATGTGCATTAGGAACGCACCAAAGAGAAGTCTGTCTCTATTTAATCCTCTAGGTTACAGACGTGAGTTCTATTTCCTCTTTAAAAGTTAACTCCACAGTACACAAGACATTTATTAAGTTTTTACCTGTAAAAGTTTGGAACTAACTCGTGAAAAATAAAGACTAATCATCCAATTATTTCTAATTCATGAATCATGTATTTTCCGCCAACGAAATTGCTCCTTTCCTCATATAATAGTTAATTTACGTTGTGACATACTTTATTTTAATAATGTAATGACAACCTAGTCTTTGCCAGTGTCAAATCGGTTGGGATTAAAGCACTAATCTCTATTCATGGATAGGCGATTGCTTGGAAATGGCAGCTTTTGTTTCACCTTCACCGCCAAAAAAAAATCAAACAGGCACAAAATTCTACGTCTTATAGCCAGTCCATTTTTAGATGTCAGTGCATTAAAAAATTGATATTCAGCAGCATATTTTCTAATTATTTGTGGCCAGTGCATAAAATAAAAAAAAAAACTCTGAATAACAAAGCTTTTACTGTGACCGATAAAACAGAAAATTATGTGGCATTGCATAAGTTATAACTTTTTTATTTAACATCTCGGACGTGCAACTGCGACAAACATTACACATTGAATTAACTGCAACTTTCATGTTTATTTCATACGTGATTTCTTGTTATTCTTACATATTAAATCATTCCTGAGGCCCGAGACATTCATTTATTTACCTGAGGAGAGCGTCGGTGGCTCAGTGGTCAAGCACTTGACTTGCAATCTGCAGGTCCTGGGTTCGAATCCCGCCATGTACGAATGTGTTTTTCAATTTCCGATTTACATATGTACATTTATCCGATGTTCTTACGGTTAAGGAAAACATCGTGATGCAACCTGCACATATCTGAGAAGAAATTCAAAGATATATTTGAAGTCAACCAACCTGCACTTGGCCAGCGTGGTTGACGACGGCCTAATCACCCTTAACTTAGGATAGGCTCTGAGCCCCTTGGTGGGGACGTATAGTGAGCTGATGATGATGATGAGGCATTTAAACAAGTAATACTAGCAGCGTTTTGACTAGCTTTAACCTATATTGATGTAACTGTTTCTTAGTCAGAAATAAAAAGCCTTACTGCTGAATTAGATATTTCATACTAAAAACACTTAGCGACACTTTCAGTAACCATTATCTGACTGAGTGTGGCAGTATTTGTAGATTACTCATACAGAATCTATACTAAGGAACTCTTTAGTAATCATTAAATGATTTTGAGTACGTCTGTTAGTCTTACGTGGGCTTTACAGGTCATTGTACATTGCAGTGATGCTTTAAATAATAATGTTTGCGCAATAAATCGCGACATGTATTATTTAGTATTGCGCCGTGTTGCAAAATCGACATATCGGTAATACCTTTATAAACTTGCCGTCTGATCTGTCAACATTTCTGTGCTTCGAAGACTCGTCTAACGTTTGTATTTGTATTATTATTGTAAAATATTATTGTAAAAATAATATGGCAGTCTAAATCCACAGTTACTAAACAATACGCATTCAAAATAATGTTGTGCTCATTGGATCTTGGTTTTGTAAACAAACTTTCTCATTATACGCCATTCTAATCTAGACTTAAACACTGTGCATAATGAATACTCCTCACTGAGTTTTTTTTAATCACAGCTCAATCATTCTCTATGGTTTTTTATTATCGTGCTCTAATCACTTACCTCTATAACCGGAATGGCTATACGACTTAGTATTTTGTGCTTATTTGATGTCCGCCATTTTGGCGCTGATTGTAGCGGTGGTGTAAATTGTAACTATTAATATAGATAGAATTAACTGTCACGTAACATCAACAAGTGCATTCAAATCGGAACGAAGCAAAAGCTCCCATTTACAAGCAATCGCCTATCAATTCAAAGAGATATGTGGCTCTAATTGCTTACATTATTATGGTCTCTGGTTACAGAAAACAATACTTTTTTGTAGTATTGTGGTTATTTAGCGTCTGAATGGTCCAGTTATAACAAGGAGTACGACCTTGAGCGACAACGTCACGCTTTATACTTGAGATGCGAGCATTTGTTGCTTATTAAAACAAATAACACTTAACAATGGTATTGTAGGGTGACAATAATAGGCTATGTAGGATAATTCCCTAATTTGTACGTGCAACTAATTATTGAATTTTTTATCATAGAGATTTCTCTGTAGAATGATCGAACTTAATGAATAATGACAGATTAAATATTTGAAAAAATGTTGAGTCTTCAAACACGCTCTCTATAAAATATCACACATTTTCTCAAGTTCTCAACCTAGTTATTTTAGTTAGTGCAAATCATAATTCAGTTATAATATAATTAAATTGCATTATATTCTTTATTCTTGAGTGTACTGGTGGTAGTGAATTACGAGTTTTATTAGGACAAATTTTTCGGGTTATTTAGTGCCTGTAATATCCCATTGTATGAGACATCATGGTCACAGTAGTTAATTATTAATGCACAGATGGACAACAGGTTGACCATGGCGTAAATAAATATAATAACATACTTCGTGTAATTATGTGTTAAAGATAATAGATTTGTAAACAGATATAAAATACTCTACACAGAATAAAATGTTGGAACACACTATTTGTTAATTAAAAAATACGATATATTTCCAATAATTTCTAACAAACAGGGGAATACTAATCCAATGATACCAATCGTCAAAATCTGTTTTTGTTAAGGCTCCATCTGTAGTGACCATCTGGTCAAAATGGTATTTACATACACACAAACCCAACTTCCTGCCTCGCACAGCAGCGTTGTGGAATGGTCTGTCCTCGGCGGTATTTCCAAACCGCTACGATTTAGGGTCCTTCAAGAAGCGAGCTTATCACCACCTCAAAGGCCGGCAACGCATCTGCGGTTCCTTTGGTATTGCTGATGTCCATGGGCGTCGTTGAACACCTCGGTGTTCCCGCTGCTCGTTTGCCCCCTTCTGTTATAAAAAAAAAAACCCCGCATGCATCAAAACATACGTGTGAAATACAGTGTTCGTGAGTTGGTGGGCTAAGAATATGTAACTCTAGTGGTCTCCTGCGACTTCGTCAGTTCAGAATTTAAAAAAAAACATGTAATAACCCCGCATGTATCAGCTACCTTCCCGTTCAAGTTCCATTAAAATCGGTCCAATCGTTCCAGATATTACTAATAACAAACGAGACCTTGAGGACAGTCAGACAAAAATTTTAAAAAATTGATTTTTTTATTAACAACGCAAATCTTACTAATAATGTAAATTCGAAAGTTTAGATGGATGGATGGATGGATGTTTGTTTGAAATTTTGCACATATATAGAACATAGTCTGGAAGAACACATAGGCATCCGCACGGACAGACTCGCGGGCGACAGCTAGTTCATTATATGTACGTAATATAAATTGTTCGATGTTACATATGGACACTCCAATTTTATTAATATGTATAGATTATTATTTACTTTTGAATAACTTTATTTAAAGTTTAAATTAACAGTTCATAATTTTCCTGCGTCCGTTCTGAGAACGTTCACGTTATCGGTACGTTTGTAAACATCAAGATTATCGGCAATTCTGTAAATTCAATTGTTTATATACTACTTAAAATGAATTGTAAAGTCAATAGTGCTACTTGTGATAAGTATTTACAATATAAAATGACAGATTACCAAAAAAAGGACTCATCATAATATGACCTAAATGACGCAATTTCATAATTGTAATTGTTAAATATTCAATTTTATCTTTGACAAATTATTTTTTCTATATTATTAAGAAGAGAGAAAAGAGTCCTTCAATTTTTTTATATCATAAGGTGGCAAACGAGCGAGCGGCCACCTGAAATCGCTGAAATAGCGAAGTAACCGTTGCCCATAGACATATGCAATTGCGTTTCCTACCTTTAATCGACGGAGTAGAGGATGCACAGAAATAATATATTTTCCCTTTCCATGCATCCTCTCATCCGGAAAGTCCACTACCACTTCCCATCCTTTCCTTATAAGAAAAAAGGTTGGAAAGGAAAGAGGATTAAATAAAGCCTCCGGGAAGCAAATTACAGTACACAATGTTTACAATTTTGTGGCTCATTTTAAGAAACTATTACGATTTCAGATTTTGGTTTTGGAACAGTTATTTCAGTTTACTCCTACATAATAACATTAAGGTAAAATTTCATTTCTTTAGTGTTTTACAAATTATGGTAAGTACAAAAACAAAAAAGCATCGCTACATCACTGAAAGTACTGTTTTAAGGCTTTATGACAACATTTTACGCCAGAGTTTAAATTATTTTGTTTCTAAGACTATTAGTAAATCTGTATTTGTTAATAATTACGTATGAAGGAAAACAATTGCTTAACTCTCTGATAATGATATGTATCATCCATCATCAACCTATGTAGGTTATCATTTTGATTTTTTAAACTATTTCGATATTAAATTTATGTTTTTGTTGTTAGATGTAAACAAAAATAATTGTTATTGCGGTTTTTATCAGTCTCGTTAATTATTAAAATCGAATACATATGAAAACGTCAACAATCCTTGAACTATTATCAGAGTAAGGCCTTGGTTGTGACCCTTTGAGACAACGAGTTGTAAAGTGTAAATTAAAATATATGTTCATTATTTATATCATATTAACTATCGCCCGCGACTCCGTCCGCGTGTTTGTCTAAAAAATAAATTAGGGGTGGACTACCCTTAACATTTAGGGGGATGAAAAATAGATGTTGGGCGAGTCTCAGACCTACTCAATATGCTCACAAAATTCCATGAGAATCAGTCAAGCCGTTTCGGAGGAGTATGTGAACGAAAATTGTGACACGAGAATTTTACATATAAGATTAACTGTCGCCCGTGACTCCGTCCGCGCAGGGAAAAAAAATATCAATAAATAGTCGATGTGTTCTTCCAGACTACGTTCTACATTTATGTAATATTTCAGGAATATCCATGGAGCCGTTCTGGATATACGTTCAAACAAACATCTAAACATTCGCATTTATGATATTAGTAAGGTATCATATGTATGTAAATGCGAGCGTCGGTGCGCAGGTGTTAATTGATCGTACCGGATCGAAATGTTTCCCAGGTTCGATTTCATTCGAATTTCATATGTACATTTATCCAATGTTGTTACGGAGAAGGAGAACATCGGAAAGCAACTTTCACATGTGGGTCAAATATATGTGTAAAGTCAACTCGCATTAGGCCAGCGTGATTGACTACTTGCCATCCCTTACTTGGGCAGGTTCTGAGTCAGTAAGGGAGAAAAAAAGGTATAAAAAAATTTAACAATTTTATTTTTAATATAAACATAACATATTTTTTTCTTCTAAAGCTTTCTTATGAAATCTAAAATAAAAAAGTACTATAACTAGCGTATATTTTTGTTATGAGTATATACAATCTTAATTAAAGCTGATTAATAAGTCATAAAGTGTTGAATATTAACATTAAAATGTGACAGATTTAGGTACAGACATTAAACAAACGTACAGCATAAAAAATATGAATTTTATGTAGAAAATAACAAATGAATAAATCAATTTTTATCTGACATTTTGCATTGACACAAGCTGTCCGATTGAGTTATCTGTTCGTCAAATCGTCAACGTTTTGGAATCTTATTTTGCATCTGTAGTCTTTAACAGAAATAAAAAAAAATGTGTAATATTAATTAAACGTCACAATTAAATGCATATAATAAAAGATATGTCATTAAAAATAGATCACAATTAAAGGGAATTTACTGTCGTATGACAACTATTGCCTTCTCTATAATTCTCCATGAATAAACAGAGATAGAAGACTTCCCGTTGTATATTTAGCAGGGTCCAAAGCCCTGAAGTTCAGTACCTGTACACTGCAAGAGGCACAAATTATTGTAAGTGTTGCCATCCGTTCCGCAAACAGGGAAATAATTCCTAGCGCAAGTACACGAAGGATGATTGTTCGCGTGTTCTACAACGTCGACTCTATTCTCGCATGGTCCGACGTGCATCATATATAGACTGGGATTAGCTTGCGTCGAACATTCTAGAACACAAGCATTGCTATACGTAGCACCGTCACTGCCGCATACGAATTTGGAGTCTTTAGGACATGTACAAGGGGATATGCTTGCGATTTTAATTTGCCTCTTCTGTCTACAGTCCCCGTGATAATTAATACGAAGAGTTGGATCATTTGTTTGTTGGCATTGGAATTCGCATTCGTTAGCGTATGTTTCTCCATTTGAAGCGCATATTGGATTGTTCTCGAATGTACAGAAACAGCTGGGCGCTTCTCGTTTGCATCTACCAACTGTTTGCAGTGAGATGCTAGGGTCGGTAGCGCGTGCGCAGTTCAGCATGCATTCGTTACTGTAAGACTTTCCGTTTGAGCCGCATACTGGTTTCTTTTCTCGAGTGCAATCGCAAGGATTTAATGCGACATTTAATGTAATCGATCCGATTATAAGTAGAATACCTGATGAAAAACATATAAATTAGTGTGGGTTTTCACTCCTAAAACTTGTATTTAAACACAAGCATTTCTTACATCTTCCATGGGTTGAGATAACAAGATGTTTTGTTTTTGTGTTTTGACAATTTAAAATTAAGACTAAACAGAATATAACTGATTTAATCAAACTGTAACCTTTTTATATGATGTAAGAAATAAGTTATCGGTTATTTTTCTAAGTAAATTTTATTTTTAATTTTTTTTTAATTATTTGTACTCTGAGTTTTTCTTTTCAGTAATCAATTTAAATTCCTATTATAAAAGTTAATCTTTTATTTAGAAACATTGCGTTGTTCGTAATTTTATCTGATTTACTTTGACCATTTAATTCTTATTGTAAAAGAATAAGTAAATGAGTAATAATTGCAATATTTTTTACGATTATATGGATATGATTATATTTGTTATAGTTTATTTAAACCATCTATAAAAAAAGCTAAAAAGCATTCACGATCGTAAAGTCTGTCATATTTTAAAATATACTTTTTATCATAATTCTTATGAAGTTCTTAATTTTAAATATTTTTATTTACTCTTAATTTATACTAAAACATTACGTATAATTAAAATGATAAAATAATTGAGTTTTGTTTGCCATTAATTATCTACAAAACACATTTAATTACTTCGTTCTCTTTAAGAAACAAAAGAAAATCTTTATAAAAATGTCTTGGCAATGTAGAAACAGAAAGAAAAAAATGTCATATATTATATAAAAATATAAACAACTCACCGAATTGATAAATCATATTGAAGGCCTCTTTGTAGATAATTTATCTGTACACTGTCGTCTTCACTGTCGCCAATATTATAATGTTGTGTTGAGACGCGCACATATATTTATATGCTAACAAAATCAATGTTCACACGAACTAAGTAACTCGGACGTTGTCTGTTTACTATGTAAATCCCCGTTGACGTGATCAATACAGACAGACAAACAGACGAGACTTCGAGGAACACCTGACGCGGTTAAGTTTGACCTCGACTAGTTGAGAATTATTCAAGTAAAATGATTAATAATTGTTTTTTAACAAGACTATACGCAATAAAATGTGTGTAATTTAAATGATGATTGTTTATCATAGAGATAGAATTTTTAGCTTTTGCCCAACTGAGTCGAATTAGAAAACTTATGCTTTATAGCTTTATACTGTCATGTGGGCATCAATGACAACTAGTTTGACAGCTTTAGTAAAAAATAAAAAAAAATAATTTGGTACAAAACACTTTGACTTTGACTACACAGTCAGACAGATTATATCCGTGGGTATACGAAAGAATAATCTTTTTAACACATCTTAAACATGAAATTATATTAACTTATTCATCGTGTATTCGATCAAAGATAAGTTGATTTGACAAATAGATACAGTTTTAACTGATGTTAAAACTTTTAAAATTAATTTATTTACTCAGATATCATTGTTTTTGTAAAAGTAAACGTGTGAACTTTTCACACGTTTAGCATTTTCTTTGTTAGATTAACATTAGAAAATGTTTACATTAAACAATAATTTGTTTATAACGCTGATAAATTATAGATGTCATCCAGTGCACTTCCGTAACCTTGAACGTCCATAGATTTGCGTTTTATCGATTAATGCGGGATTTTTCTTCACAAAAGTTAGCAAAGCTCAAGATTTTTTGCACACAAAGGGAACATCAGTATCTATGAGAGTGTGGAAACCTACGATAACAATTTATTTACTACTTTTTTAAATCGATTTAAAAAGAGTAGGTACGTTCTTAATTAGTTTTTTTCCGTTTTTTATTTGGATGAGCAACGAACCTTTAACATAAGGTTGGCAGATCCGCCATTTCGAAAAAACAATACTATATAATTTAAGCCCTCGTATACCAACAGTAATTTATTGATACAAGGAAAACGCAGTTCTTGAAACTGGTATTTGTAAATATGTCTGATTGTAGACTCGTCAAATGTTTGTCGAAGACATGTTGTTTCTTGGATCTTTGTTCTTAAAACTTTGTAAGAAGATAGGTTTTTCTTCCGGAAGAGTTTGCGACTGTTTACTGCGAGCTTTAGACTTGGTTTTGTTTATTAGTCTAGCGGTTGAATTACTTAGATAACGAGTTTTGGATTCTATTCACAAGTAATTAAAAGACGTTCCGTTCTCCTTTTATTCGGATTGCTTCTTATCGGATCTTGCGAGTACAAAACATTCTATAATATTTAGGAGGTTAGCAATAATTTTGGGACAGGAACGAGTAACTTGTGCGAATTTTAAGTAACTTTATTTTAAGATTTTCTGAACTATTAACTAAAAAAAGAACAGATAAATAAAAAAATTGAAATTAAACTATTCGTTTTAATCTACATACATCTGTGGCCTTATCTATCGAGGTAATTGTTAAATTTACGCAGCCTACATTGAAACTCAGTGGGTTGTAAATTTTAGTAAGGTGGGAAGTAAATACATTTTATTACCGTCATCCTTTCTTTTGATTACCAAACGGAAGTATCGTGATAGTGTTGCCTGTTAATATATTAACGTGGAATTTCGGTACAATTGCAAATTGCACTTGCATACTTCAGTGTTTATTTGACGTTTGACGTTGTCGATATTTCCCGCCAATGGATTACAGAATCGGTATGTATATATTTATTTTACTAAAATATTAAAGATTAAAAAATTGGTAATATGTATTTTTTTTTAAATTAATTTTAATTAGATTGATTTTTTCTGTCTGACGAAACAGTTGAAACGTGGACTTGGCTTATTGGTATTTATATTTAATTACCTTTTTTTCCAGTGATTTTGTCTTTATTTTTAATCTACATTGGAGTGGAAGCGAGGCAGGAACCTTGGACCGATTGGTCGGAGAAGCGATGTCCGTGCACTTCGGAGTACGCGCCAATCTGCGCAAACGACATGCGTCGGTATAGGAATTCGTGTACTTACGAATGTCGATTGAACCATCTCTATGAAAACAAGGAACGTCTGATAAAATCAATTGATTGTGGTCTATTACCGCCATCTACACCAAACTGAATATTATAATGTTTGAACACAAATAAATAAAATATATTTTAACAATTTGTCACATTTACTACAGCCTTCATTTTATGAGACATCGAATAAATGAAAAATAATTAAACATTAAATCTTACAATAGTATTAATTTTAAATGTGGTAGAGTCCTCAACAGTGTAACTGCACGAATGTCCCGTCCGACCGGTGCAGCCACGAATACACAGAAGTCAGGCGTGAAGTAATTCTGCCTGATGATTTAAGCCTAGATCTTGGGGAGGGGGAACTAGTAGTATTTCTTTATTAATAAATAATTTTCACGATGGACCGATGACCTGGTCAAGGTTGCGGGAGTGCACTGGATGCGGGCGGCGCAGGACCGGGCATTGTGGCAATCGATGGGGGAGGCCTACGTCCAGCAGTGGACAAGTTTAGGCTGAATATGATGATGATGAATAATTTTCCATTAATCAGATGAGACAACAGTGGTAGAGCCCGCTTTAACACCTTCGAACAAATTGGCCGGTTCGCCCGGTGCAATACCACGACCACACAGAAGACAAGCTTCAAGTGAAAGTATTCCTCTTTCACTTCCCACCATTTTTCTTATAAAGGATGGGAAGTTATAGTGAAGGGAAAATATTCTCTTTCTGTGCATCCTTGTCCTCTGTTTGCCGACTTATAATATAAAATAAAGATAAAGAAAACTCCTAAAGTATTTTAACAATATGTGATAGTAATTGAAGATAAATTTAAATCTATAATTAAAACTTACGTATCTGAAGGGAAATAAACACGTACAAAAGACGTTAAAATGTTTCGATCCAACAGGTAAGTAGGTCGTACCGTTTATTGGCTATAACTGTGCGTGAATAAAACATTTTGTCAGCTTTTATTATCCAGTATCCGTTTTACCGGAAACAGTACAATAATATAGCTACCTGTATATTAAGGTAGAGTTGTGGAGAAAGTGGTACTACCAGTCCAAACAACGAACTGTAAACGCTGAAAATTGAAGTAAATATACGCTATGGATTACAAAGTCGGTTAGTAATTTTTTTTTTGTTTGATTTCAATAGCGTTGAAATATAAAGACGTAACTTAATCTATGCATTCGTTAAATATATAATTTGCCGACAATTTTCCTAGGCCAATTACAAACTTGCGGCATTCACGACAGGTTGGTGACAGAAAATTTAAGAATTTATTAAGTTCAACAATGATTTTCTCCTAATACTTGTGTGTTCTAAAGTTTTAATTCACAATAAATAGTTGAGTAATTTTTTTTGCAGTTTCAATAGCAATCTTGCTTGTGATGATGTCTTCAGCTCTTGGTGAAAGGTCAAGTTTGTCATGGCCGGAATGTCCATGTCCTAAAATAATGCAGCCCGTTTGTGCCACAAACAACCTCAATTTCCACAGCCCATGTCACTTTAAGTGTTACGCTGATGCATTCCAAAGACAAACAGGGATTAAATTGTCCATCTTGAAAGAATCAGAATGTTAGATTGAAATATTAAAAAACATATAAAAACTTTGTTCTTATATACCTCTTTTATTTTAACAATTGCAGTATACAAGCTTGTAAAAAGTACAGGCAATAAAAAAATGTTTTTATACAAATAAAAAAAATATCCCTTTCCAAATTATTATGTTTTTCTCTTATATCAATCTTATTCTGCCAGGATTAATAAGTCCATTAAATTAAAAAAATAAAAATTACAGTACTGTTTATCATTGTAAGAATCATATTCTATTTTTATGTGTGACATATTATTAGTCCTTACCTAATTCACTTTTTTTTAATAGTTAGCTATGCTTCGACTATTTTGTTTAGACATTATTACAGTCCAACCTGGATAAGTTAAAAACCTCTGTGCATGAAAATCATTATCTAGTCCTGACAAGTAACCTCTATAAGCAAAAACCTCAAGTTAGAGAGAAACCTCTACAAGTGAGAAATAAGTGCAGTCCTTTGGTCTCTTGCCTATCCAGGTTAAACTATAGTTAGAGTTTTGATGGCAATAATTCATCCAATGCAAATCTCTTCCTTAAAAAGTCACCTTTATAAACTTCAGGGGGCAAAAAACACTGTAAAAATAAGTGAGTTATGAGTCCTGTTATACCCCATACTTTGTGTTTCTCACATAGGAAAATAGGTATTGGTTGCTTCTCATATTTGAGGTGCGCATGATTTCTGACATCACATAGTTCTTTCATTGGCACAGTAAATATTTCATCTACTTCATTAAAGTTACGTCGCAACGCATTTGGGTCGAAATTTATTATTTCACCAACTACAGGTGTGATAAGCATATCTTTATTTCTTCCCTGCACTTGTGGCATTTCACACCATACGTCTATTTTCTCGGGAGAAACACCTATCTCCTCCTCAGTTTCTCGTAAAGCTGTTTCCACTACACTTTCACCTTCATCTTTTTTACCACCAGGAAACGATACTTGTCCACTATGGTTTTTCAAGTTTGAAGATCGAAGAGTATATAACAAATATACTTCGCCATTTTGCACACATAAAGGCACCAAAACAGAGGCGTTGTGTTTAGGTTTTTCCTTATTAAAGAAAAATCCTGGCAGCTCTTTTATATTTGCGATACACCGTTCACGCGCAACACTCGACATCAAAACTTGTGGGGATAAAGACATAACGGGATCTTAAAACGTTCTACTTACAGTTAACATATTACTTATCTAACAGGTTCAAAGTTTACTTCCTAAAAAAAATTATCATTGCAAACTTTTTATCAATTATCATTATAACAGATCATCACGTCACGGATTATATTGAATTTGGCAAGTTGATTTGGCATTGACATTTATAATTTGATAGTGACATTGACAGGCCAGATTGTTGCCATTTATATTATTTGAAATTGCGCGCAAAAATATTACTTAAGGACATTTATAAGCTGATGTAAGGCTGGAGTGGGCATGAAATACATTTAAACCGTATTATATCACTGTGCGCCTCATACAAATCCGTATACCTAAGCGTAAACCAAAACAAATATTAAACGTACGAAGTACTTCTTCTCTCATCTCTTGAGTATTAGAGACCTTGTTAAGGGAAAATAATAATACAAAGAACAGCAATACGATAGATTTAATTTTAAGCGCGTGTTTTTTCTTCAAGGATATAAAAACGCTTATCATAGTATATATTTTTATTAAAAGTATAAAAGCTACATATCACAATAGTAACAAAAATGCATATTTGAAATATGATTAAATAGGAAAGCGCGTTTGTCAGTTAAGAATGTAAGGCTTATATTAATTTAGAAATTAAAATAATAACGAAAGAAAAGGCATGCAAAATAAAACTCAAATAAAAAAATAATATTTATCCAGGTTTATTTCTTAACATTTAAATTATAATCTAATAACGCTATATAATCGTGTAAATGATATGATAATGGCATAACTTTACATAATTATAAAGCATTAATATTTTATACAATCGATATATGTCAAATGACATGTTCATCGTCTCTCGCTGTGTACTATTATGTGTCAGGTCATTGCCTGAACTTTAAAAAATAAAAATAATAATGTTACCAGAAATAAAAATGGTCCACGCCAATCTACAACGCGATATAAAATTAACAAGGAAATTTAAAAAATCACAAGATTTCGTAAGAAAGGGAACAATTTTTTTCCTAAAAACAGTTTAATATTATAAAGCTAGCAAAATGAATAATATTATAGTTTTTTTAACAGTGTCAAATAAGTCGGACGTCAAGCATTTTTAATAAAGTAAAATAAGTTTAAGATAAATAAAGGAGATATAAGTACCTAAAATGTACCTTTAAAAAGGTAACTATGAGGCAGGCAAGAGCGCTCACTGTAATTTTCAAAAAATATATTTTTTAATCTGATTTGGCGCATGAACAGGCAGAGGCAGAATAACACAATGGCGGTAAAATTTCTAACCTAAAACATTTAAATAAACTCGGAAATAACATTAAATACTGTAAAACCGATCTTAAATCTAAAACTATTGTGAATATAATACAAAATGCCTGGTGAATTCGTTGTTTTTGAACAATGAATCTTTTACAAAATGCATTAAATACTACATGAAGTTTTTAGGTTATGAAAACTAAAATGTTCGGATTCCAAAAAGACATAAATTAACTTTTTTAGCACCTCTGCCACATTTTAATTGTATGTAAAAAGTTATATAATTTTTAATCAATCAACTTTTTAACAAAAAATAATCGCCATACATACTTCCCACTTGATTAACGAAAATACGGCTTGATTTAGGATCATTTATCTTCCAGTTAACATCCTGATTAGGATAGCTAAGTAACAATCACCACATTTAAACATAAATTAATTAATTTCGATTATACCGCATCCACTCAAACTGTAACATGTACTGAATAACTAAAAACTTTTTGATTTTCTTACAAAAATAGAATTAAATTTGTAGACGGCCAAGGGATAGAGGGTCTAAGGAATATCACAAATTACAAATTTTATTTTGGAAAAACAATCCCTGGCACATCTTTATTTCTAGGGTTGGAAAATATCGATATTATAAAAAAAACAGCCAAAGCAATTACCTTTCAGTATCAAACATCCATATGAATTTCTATAACAATAGAGTAAAATAGTACTTAGATATAAACCTTGAAAATAATTATTACAATGGTGGTAAACCATTTTTAAAACAAAAATAAACAAAATATGATATTTCCATATATTAAAGATATCTGAAATTTTGTTAAAAAGTCGATATAAAATCGATATTGCTATAAATATTTTTCGCAACCCTAATAACGTCAATCGACATGACATGTGGGACGTATGGTCATGACTGCATGTGTACGAAGCATGTACCGCTTAATGTCTATTGTACAAGGTTTTAAGTCCACGGTGTGGCAACACCGGCTGTCATTACTCTGTGGCGCTCAAATCGTTGACGTCGATCGGAATTGACGTAGTAAAAGTCGGCGTCTCCAGTTCTTCATGTTTCTTCATTTTAAGTGCCTGAAAATTAATATATATCGTTAAATTCCATCAGAATACAAAATGAAATCAGATTTGTGAATTTACATTCTACATGTTATTTTTTTCGTTTATAAAATTTACATAATTGCAGTACTCCACCATGGGTACATCGTTCATCATATATAAGGTATTTTAGAAAAGAGTATAATAAAAAAGCAAGTCAGTATATTGGATGATAAAACAATTAAAAAAGTTAGTTGTAAAGGTACAAAATTAAGAAGATAAAAAACATATACATATTAGTAAATAAAACCAATCCCGACTCACAACACCGACATAAGCCTGAAATGTTAATATTATGAAGTCAACGGTTTTTCCATTCCCACCAAAACAAACACATTAATGAGAGATGAAGCATTAGGGCTGTTAAAATAAAATGATGCAGAAATCGATCTGTAATCGATTATTTTAACTTAGATATTATTCATATAATCAGTATTTCGCCGGTCCCTACATTTGATTACTTTTGACGTCCAAATTATGAAATTTTAGAAGAAATATTATAACCACGATGAAAATCCAATCCTATGGTTTTAAATCATAATAAACATGGAAAAATATTTTTATTTTCATGTAAAATGTTTTAAATAATATTACACTCAGAATATTATATAAATACTATTATTATAATTTCTTGATTACATTAGTTTAGTAAAAATATTAATTTAGTACAATCATTATTATTTTTTGGTTATGGCAACACCATTCTTGACAAATTAAATTTTAATACTTATTCTGCATATTTAATGAGTGGCTTAAACATAAAACCGATTTGGTTAAATTTAAGAAAAATTGATATTGCCAAAAGATGATTAAACTGTTTCAAGTAGCTTTAAAATCTTTAGGGTTTAATGTAAAGCCTAGAATACTGTCTTAGGGCCTACAACTAGAAGCGCTTGCTTAATTACACGACCCGCTTAATTAACGAACAATTATTCTTTTAGCTAGAAATGATTTTATGAATGTTAACTTTACAAATGTAAATTAAATAATTTAAAAAAAAACTTCCACCTCTTTTAAAACAGAAAATGTACAATGCGGTCCAAACATACAACAGCGAGTATTTGCTTTGTGCTAATTATTTTAATATAAAAACAGATTAATTAACATAGAAATATCAAAAAAAAAATTAAACTGTCAATGTCAAACCATAGACAATACAATATCTCTATGTTCATTACGTAAGTAAAGCTCCAGCCCGCGCAAACAACAATTAGGCACGTGGTGACGTTAAACGCATAGATAATTGTTTTTTTTTTTTTATGAAATGGCGCGAAAGGTTTCAGCATTACAACGCAACGCGCAACGTACCGGGTCATCTTCGATCCTTTGTCGTGTCGGCTTCGGCGACATGAGCAAACCTTTTGTCGACAACTGTTGGTGACATTCATAATATACATATAACGGATAGTAACAGTATCCCATAGAAAATAATCCCGAAATAACAATAATACTAAGAGAAATAGAAAATATAGTGCAGAGTATATCCCCATTGTAAAGTTAAATAAATTAAAAATAATAGCAACATTAAGTATACAACTTCCATCCATACATTTCCAAGTGACATTTTTACTCAATCATACAAGACAGACTTTCACTCACCACACTTAGCTATAAAAATTGACATTTCAGAGAGATATAAAGAAAAAAAACAAAGATAAATCAATAAAGAAAAGAATAACATACAATTAAGTATAGTTCTAACATACAAGTACTAGGAGATCAGAAATCGTGTGTTGTGTATGGGAGGTACTGGTGTATATAGTGTACCTGCTGCAGCTTGTAGTGGTTGATGATGTCCTGGTCGGCGGGGCAGCTCTGCGTAAACGCGTCCAGCTGGTACATGTGGTACATGTAACGCCACAATGCGCGGAAACTCGTCTGCAATACAATAATAAACATTATAATAAAAATAAATGGATTGGCTAAAAGACTTAGTATTTTGTGCCTATTCGTTTTTTGCCATTTTGAAGTCGATGCTAACGGATAATATAGATAGATTTTACTGTCGCGCCACATCAACAGGCGCGTACAAATCGGAACGAAGCAAAAACTGTCATTTCCAATCAATCACCTATCCATTTTTAAAGATCAGTGGCACTAAATAACTAATTTAACGTTTTGTTTTATATAAGAATACATACCGGTATCTCGAAATCGACGAAGTACTTTCCGGCGACGCGGATGTGCTGCAGACGCGGCATCAGTTCACAATCGAAACAGCACATCGTATCGCCTGTTAGGAATCTGAAAACGACATTCAACAAAGATAAGTTTGGATACTTTATGGTCACTCATTGTTATATGGTGATACGAGCGCATGTCTTCGTAGTTAGGTCCACTGCGGATGGAGTAAACCGCGCACAGGCGGCTGCCAAGCTAAAATTGTTTTGTGGACAGTAAGTTGATATCTTCTGTGCCGTGTGTTTAGATATCACTGACCTGGTGGCGCGGCGTTCGAGCAGTGCATCAATACGGCCGAGGTGAGCACGCAATGCAGCGGACTTCTGCTCATCCTTACGCACCAGCACCAGCTTCAGCTTGGAGTACAGGTTCTCGATCAGTGACGCCACTTCTTTGTCCTGGAATAGACATGTTATTGGAATACGTAAGGAAATTACTGGTATACATACATTTTGAATGAGGGTTCGAAGTTCGAAGATCACTTACCACTATCGTACAGCAAATTGTGACCGAAAGAGAAAGAGCACATATGTTTGTGATGTCAAATGCAAAGAGCAACTTTTCCACTAAATGGGTATGAAATTAAAGTCCTTTACTGTACCTGTACGAATAAATTATGTCCGCCGGGCACAGACTTCATGATGTGGCGCTCGATCTTCTCGTTCTCGAGGATGGCGAGGCCGTTGTCGATCAGTATGGGAGGGTGCGTCGCCTCGAAGTTGGTACGGAAGTCCGGCGGCGGCTTCTGCATGTCCACTGTCGTAACCTACAATACAACACAATGCATTTATGAACACTTGGTATTTATGTCCAGCTGAGAAAGTCATTGCTACTCGAATTAACCGTGTTCAATCAAAGTCTAGACGAGGCCATAGTAATTGTATTTAAGTTATCAAACTTTCACCGCAGCGACCGAAAAGCCCTTGAATTGACGACCGCTAATCCTAAAACATTTATCGTCTATGCTCTATATAGTCGTAAAGTCGTAAAAATAAACACATTTCACTAAGTTTACGTCCCTACATGATGTTGACCCAAACGATACTCAGTACTTTGGCTTATCCATTCTTATTACTTACTTTTAAACTGATAGTCTTGAGCTCTGCTAGTAGGTAGAGGTCCATGAAGTACTCTTGACAGAAGAGGCACGCTCCTTTCCGCCGCCCATCGATTGTCGACGCCTGAAAAAATTAACATATTAAAAAAACATATTAATTTTTTAATTTGTATTTCTTGTAACCATTCCAATTAAGCTCGAAGCAAATCCTCAATTGAATTTATTCATAACTAGGTTTTCAGCGAATTCTCATAATAATGTCGATTCGCAATTGAGGTTATGTACTCATTTTATAAACTAAAAACAAAGTCACGCGGCAACGTCTGATTATCCAAATCTAATTTTACACTACTTAATGGATTTTCTAACGGTTTTCGCTTTTTATTTCAAACTGGCAGCCAGCTGCGACTTTAACTGCCAAAATTAAAAAAAAAAGTTTATAATTTTTTTCGCGTGCATCCTACCATCCTGTCAAAAACGCAGCTTCGAGGACACACAGAATGCATTATGTGTAGGAAATATGAAATTTGATTTTCTATATTAGCACAGAGACAAAAATTTTTGTTAATATGAATAGTTGTTTTCGTAATGGTCATTCTGATGGGATCGTAAGTCATTGGGGATGAGCAATGGAAGGAATGATTTGGGAAGCAGATTCATAATGACCATTTTACTTATTTATCTATACGTTAAGTAGAAATTATAATAAACATAATCTTGAATTACAAATCGAACGAGACATGGTGTGATCTTCAAATGTCGGAAAGTACGCTAAAATAATTTATTTGATAATGCTAATATAAACCGGATTTGTTTTGGATGTTTCATGAGCATGCATAATCTTTATATATATAATTCTTCTGTGAGTGTGTATGTCACTGAACTTCTCTCAAACGACTGGACCGATTTTGATGAAATTTTTTGTGTGTGTTCAAGGGGATCTGGGAATGGTTTAGATTCACAATTTTCATCAAATATTAACTTCATATTAATTTATTCAAATTAAAGACGTGTAGACAGGACAACGTATGTCGGCTCCGCTAGTATCTTACTAATATTATAAATGCTAATGTTTGGATAAATGGATAGATGTTCGTTAAAAGGTATCTTCAGAACTGCTACATGGATCTCGCTGAAATTTGGCATAGATGTAGAACATAGTATGGAAGAACACATAGACTACTAAGTTTTTTTTAATCCCGCACCAATTTAGCGGGAGACAGCTAGCATTTGAATAAAAAAGAAGAGTTGAGATAGAAAGAGACTGAGATAGGCATAGAGTAACTTAAAGGTTTTGTGTTTTTAAAATTGTATTACAAAATAATATTAAATTAAAATGCATACATAATTATGGTATTTATTTAATAAAGAGTTACGCACATAATAAACATGTTTCCGGATATGTTACAATGTGTGAGAACAGTGCAAAGTGCAAATATGTAACATTAACCTACTACTTGGTTATTTTTATATATTTACATACAATTAACTATTACGTAATGATAAAAAAAACATTGTTCACAAACATGTTGACCCTACGCTCATGTTGCAAGTTACGTTACGTAAAAAAGACTTGTCACTGATAACAAAAATATAAAATGCGCTATCCATACGCAATTTACAATACATGAAATATATTTTAAATTTTCTTAATTATACTAGTGGTCGCCCGCGACTCCAATTACATTACTAGCCTATGTGTTTTTCCACGTATCGTTCTACTTCAGTTACTAAATTTCAGCGACGGTCATACAGTTGATCTGGAGATAACTTTTAAGAAACATCCATCCATCCATCTTAATATTTCGCATTCATAATATTAGTAAGATAGTAAAAAGTAAGATTATTAATGTTTGACGTCACTATATATATTTTTAACAACTTTGTGCTATTATAAGGTGCGGTTACGTCAGACAGAAAGTGATATAATTTTTAGAACGACGTTAATTTAATTAAAATAGTTAACAGCTTTGCATATTTTTAGAGGTTTTTAAACTATGATTATATAGGCAGTAATCTGCATATTTAGAGGCATAACATTTGTACGTTAACGTGTAATTCATGTGTTGTAAAATATTTATGAGAACACAAGTTCGTGAATAAAAGAAAGATACGTATAGTTTATGGTTTATTCCAGACAAATTTTTCCGAATTAACAAACATCCATATATCCAAACATTGGCTTCATAAGTAAGATAATAATACTGTCTCTGTTTATGTAAAGGCATTGACAGGGATGGCAATACTTTAATGCTGGTATTACGCCAGTGAAAACTAACCTTAAGATGAGACCTTCACTGCATTGCGACGTTACACGATTGTTAACCAAGACGTCGAGCCGTGACCAATTGTGTGTTGTATATTTAACATCACTTTAGCAACATTTATTGAAATACGATATATTTGTATGCATATTAAATAATAAAAATTCCATAACTAAGCACAGGCAAATTAAACTGGAATTATCCCCGGGTCTTTCCATCGGTTGTTAGTTATTTTTAAAACCATCTATTAAATTATCCTTTGATGTAGACTTAACGTTCCTAATTACCAGCTAAATGCCGCCATTGCGTATATAATTAATTGGTACAGACGCGGCGCACGAATTGTCCTACTGACGTTGTAAGTAAAATGTCAAATACTTTACCCTACATATTTGAGATGCCGCAGTGAGTCATTGCTTCTATGAAGATATATCATCGTGCCCTTTGTTAATTTTAATCGTATGCACTGTTAAAAAGAAAATCCGACACTGTGCCGGTGTATCGGCGCATCACTAGCCTTAAAATATCAACGATTATGTAACACCTCACTAATCAATCTGACACTTGACTAAAGCGCCATTTGCACCACAGGATTCTAACTAATAATGTTTAAAAGTTATTTGAATTATCCTTGTACAGCATTGAGGATAAATTAGCTTAATTTATTTTTAAACTTAGTTAAAAACAATAGCCTTATGTTGTTATCTAACCTATAACCCGACCCTTACTTTGAGAAGCCTGTCAAAATTACGTGACAGGCAGTCATGCTAGACATTAGAAAAGCGTACAGCGTGTCTAAACGTCTGTATTTATGTATGTATGTATGAAAGTTCTTTGTTCTTTGCATGTCGTGAGTCATCCGGTACATCTACAGTTCGAGGTCAAAGGGCCGCACAACTATATAGAGACTTTCTAAATTCGCATTAAAGCATAGCCGTTTAGAAATTATCGAGAAAGTATGCGTACATTTTAGGATATGAAACTAGTTGCAATTATCATTTCAAAGCTTATTTATGAATCTACTAGCTGTCGCCAGCAGCCCTGTCTGCGCGGAATTAAAAAAAAACTTGATTAGTAGCCCATGTATTCTTCCAGGTATGTATGATCAGCTTATATATGAAATTTCAGTGAGATCCATGCAGCCGTACTGGAGATACCTTCTAACAAACATCCATCAATCCATCCAAACACTGGTATTTATAATATTAGAAGTATTGTTTAAGGGATGTGCAGTGATATCGATAAAAATAAAATAATATAGATTCGAGACAATGTTGGATGTTTTGGTTGGCTGAATAGCAACGTATCGATAAATCCATGCCGTTGTTCGTGCAACAGTTTAGGGTAGTTCTGGCATAAATAGACATTATTATCGATGGTTTTCCAATCGGACGGTTCTCTACGCTATTGTAGTCACGTTATGTCCGACCGGGCTCGATAGCGCGTAAACATAAACAATATTATTTTTCTCTCTAAACGCGTATTATTCAAATACGCGTTATAAAATACATATAGATATCTTGGAGCAGTGATACATTATGAATTTAAAAACAAGGATATGGTACGCGCAGTACTGTAATTCACAACAGATGCCATAGAGGAAAACTAAATTTGTGTGTAATTGGACGGACGAGGAAGCAGACACTATTGGAACGAAATACCGATTGGGTGACGACAATTTTCTAGAAGGAAGGTCTTGTCAGTCTTTATATGTTCCATATCAAGAAACTTCAAGGACTGTAAGTATGAAAGTATCCATAGATTCTGCTTTCTGTCCTCATCATGTATCTACTGCGTTCAAAATAAAGTCATATAATATCAAGTTTTTAGGTTCTGAAAAATGACCTATAATAATCAGGCGAATAACTTTTCCCTTGCTTGCTCCGTAATAAATTGCTAAATTGTGTGCTAATCAAGGAAATAAGACGTATGAAATTTGTATTCTCCATGGTACATCCGAGCCGAATCTATTGTCACCGTTCAATGGGCGAGCGGAATAGAAACCGGGGTGTCCGTTGGTGCGTGTCGCTCTAGCTGCGCAGATGTTCGCCAGCCGCGCGGGCCGTGTGTACCGGACACAATTAGAAAACCGTAAAGCGACACCGGCGACATCAGATACGCTTGGGACCTGCAAATTATATGCCAATCGGCCTTCACTCTATTCCTATTGAAATTGTTAATTCAATTTAAATAGTGACATCAGGTGCAATGTTATTTTTAATTAGAGTGAAGTAAAAAAAATAATTGTGTTGCCCATATTTGATTCTCATATTTGACGGTGAATGTTCGAGATCGTCTTATAATGAGCAAAAAGTTGTATTGGAAAGTTTAATTTAAATGATCTGTTGAAGATTTAGATAAACCTTACCGGATGAACCCAATGACTCGATAAAACCGGAAATGATTTCATTGAAAACACGCATTGTACGCGTAAAGATTCCTCAATGCTCGAAGGCGTCGAAGCGAAACACATCTCACGCTTAAAACAAAATAAATGTTCGAACGCCAAATTACAACATCACAGCTCGGCACGATATGATGATGCAGAGCGGAGTACGTGGCCGACCAGCCGTGGCAAACAAACATCAGAGTCAATGACACCCCAACATATAGCGACTTTCAGTTTCGTGAAAACGAAAGCAACAAATACATCTCCCGCGCAACGCAAGAAGCGCCATTTTAGCCAAGATGGCGGCGAAAAAAGTCGATAATCCGTCACGGAGTCCGCGCAGGCGCAGCACTAGCCACCAATTTATCTTTATTTGAATTTACTGTAACGTTCCGCTAAGACGTTCATTTAGAAACTCCATTGAAAGTGACACTAAATACTTTTGTAATTAGATATTTCTAAAGAATAATT